AGAGAGAGAGAGAGAGAGAGAGAGAGAGAGAGACAGACAGACAGACAGACAGACAGACAGACAGACAGACAGACAAACAGGCAGACAGAGAAAGAAAGGAAAGTGCTCGTTTGTATGCCATGCACGAATTTGCCAAAAATAAGTCCGAAGTGGCACAAGATAGCTGTTTTGTGGGGCACCGATAAGTTTATTTTTAGAACAACAGTCCACCCGCACGACAAGTCTGCTTGGTTTTCGAGGAATGATGATGTCTTTTTCTTCACCTGTGCACCGAGCTTGTCACGAGACAGATAATGATGTTGTAAAACGGAAATCAGATAACAGAAAAAAGTCGGATTTGCAAGGCTGTTTGCTGAACAGTGTCATATAGTGTAAAGCGCATAGAGCCTGCTGTTGAGCGGGGATATGCGCTATACAAAGGCTATTTATTATTATTATTATTTGAACGTAAATTTCGTTTAAGAAGCAATTCTCAAACACAGCCTAGTGTACACAATTCTCAGTTTTATAATTATGGATCAAAACTGAAATTAAAGAACAGAGAAATGTCGGATTTGCATTCACCAAGTGAATTTCTGAGTTACACTTCGATCTGGTCCAAGAGGCAAAGTTAAAAATGATGGTACTATTAATATGCAATGTACTCACGAAGCCCAGTTTTGTTATCTTTCATACTTATATTTAGTTTAATTTTAGTAGAGGTTTTACGGCGCTCGCAACTGCATAAGGTCATATGAGCGCCAAGGGGTGGATGTCAACAGAGAAGTCCTTACAGGGAGTCAGACTTACTCTGCTCACCTCTCTAGCTTCAATAGCACAACGTCTGCTTCGACTATCAAAGCACCCCGGAAATAGCGGGTCACAAGAGTGTGACAAGCATACAAAAGAAGTAGAGGAAAATGACGGCAGAAAGTATTAGGAAAGAAAAAGCAGCAGTTCCCTGTTGTAGTACAGGCACAGTTATGAGCATGACATTGTTGGATCAGCCCATTTACAATTTTACTGTGCATTAGAACGAGAAATGCCCCCCCCCCCTTTTTGGGAATAGCCTAAAGACACTTCAGTCAGTGGCACCGTCCCGGGGATGATACATATTATATTAGCACAGGTCAGTTTCTCTATGGATATCAACATTCAACAGTGACAATAATACATCATGTAATCACGGCCGGCAACATTCAACAGTGACAATAATACATCATGTAATCACGGCCGGCAACATTCAACAGTGACAATAATACATCATGTAATCACGGCCGGCAA